ATATTGAATTAATTATAGAAAATAATCTAATCAAACAACTATCTGAAACAATTAGTCTCTTTAATAAATTTCGACAGCATAATAAGAAGATGAATATGATCAGAATTATGTGATGATAGATTAGAGCAATGCATTTCAAACAATCTGATCACTTGTAATATACCTGTTGAGAAATCACAATCGATTGATTACTGGGCGGTGATCAATTCTATATGTGTCAAGTTCTTCTTAGTGCTGATCGAATGCTATCGATCAAGTTGCAATGTGGTCACTAGTCTAGGTGTCTCGACATTGCATGCACTATGTTGAGATAAGATTGTGGTTGGAGATAGTCAATAGGAAACCTTGAACACGGGTTTCGTGCTATTTGTCATTCGTCAGCAAAGTGTACCCGTAATCTTGAGGGAACTGCTGCTCCCTGATGGATTTGATCTCAGTGGTAGCGTCTCTGACTGTGAAGCTGGGTGGCACGGAATCGAACCCGTCAGGGAGCACCAGTTCCCTCAAGATTACACGTACATCTTGCGGATGAGTGCCAAGTATCACGAAATCCGGGTTCAGGGTTTCCTGTTGACTACCTCCAACCATCATCTTATACTTGTTAAGAAGAGGAGATAGGGATAATAAGGAAAATAATGTGAATGTAAATTGATTAAAAGTCATATTGAATTACTTCAAAGTTGAATGAAATCAAAATCACACTGAATTAATCAACAAAATAATCAACTGAATGAAAGTTATCACATTCTAATTTTTAAAAACTTGAACATATATACACTTTATTAAAAGATTATTAGATTAAGTAGAGATGGATAATGGATAGCAATGGAATCCAGGATGCACGTTTTATCCTATTTGGAACTTTTCAACTGTATGTAATCTCATTTCAGAGTTCCAGAGTGAACACTAACTCTCGGATGTAGGTACATCCAGCTGTTTAGTCCCAAATAAGATGAAACATGTGTCCTAAATTCCACTGTTAATCACCATATAACTTTACTTACAATGCTTATAACTCTAGGTAATATCGAGGTGATCTATACAGGATGCACATATGCCAATAAGAGATCAATCAATTACACCACTAAACATGAATGGGAAGGTTCGAATAAACAATTAATCATTGAATTCATAGTGAAAGTGTTCCAAAAACGATAGACAATTCGGAATGGTATACAAATTTAGGTAGTTGATAAGTATTCATCATTATGGACCTAAAATGTCAATTATCACATTCCCCCCCCCCACTTCCTGTGATTCAGATTTCCGAACCTGTTTCAAACATCAATCTCATCTTAATTAACTGAAGTATCTGGAACTGTGTTTATAATCATGTTTCTATAGTGGACAGCTAGCATGCAGCTAGACGATCTAGGCTTCGCAGATGATCTGACTCTTCAATCACACACGCAAAAGCAAATGCAGGAGAAAACGACCAGTGTAACAGCAGCCTCAGCAGCAGTAGGTGTCAACACACACAAGGGGAAAAGCAAGACTCTCCGATACAATACAACATGCACAAATCAAATCACACTTGATGGAGAAGCTTTGGAGAATGTGGAAACCTTTACATATCTGGCCAGCATCATTGATGAACACAGTGGATCAGATGCAGATGTTATGGCGCGGATCAAAAAAGCAAGATCAGCATATTTACAACTGACAAACATCTGGAACTCAAAACAACTGTCAACCAACACCAAGATCACAATTTTCAATACGAATGTTAACACAGTTCTACGGTATAGAGCGGAAACTAGGAGAACAACAAAGGCCACCATTCAGAAGATACGAGTGTTTATTAGTGGTTGTCCACGCAAAATACTTTGGATCTGTTGGCCAGACACTGTGAACAACAACCTATTGTGGGAGACAACAAACCAGATTCCAACGGAGGAGGGAATGAGGAAGAAACGCTGTAAGTGGATAGGACACAGATTGAGGAAATCACTCGACTGCGTCACAAGGCGATCCCTTGCATGGAATCCTGAAGGAGAAGAGGAAGATCAATGAACACATTACACGGAGAAATGAAGACAGAAATGAGAAGAATTCACAAAAGTTGTATGGAACTAGTAAAGAAGTTCCAGGACAGATTGGCTTGGAGAATGCTAATCGACAGCCTATACTCCATTGGGATTAACAGGCATAAGTAAGTTAGTAAGTAAAACCATTAATTATATTCTATTGTAACACTAATTCAGTATAAATATTCTTTGTATTCAATTAATATAAACTTTGTACAATACAACATACAATACTTACTTTTTACTAATTCTATGTACTTCAACTACATGTAATATTCATTAATTAATCATCAAGTGTCTATTATATTAAAATTGTGGTGTACTTTTGGGTTAAAGTCTATATATAATTTGGAAAATCAATAAAACTTCCTTCAATGCCAGTCAATGTTCTTACTTAATTAAATGGAAATTAGATTGATCTACAGTTTTTTAAAGTATTACTTACTCCTGTTACCCCTCGTGAAGGAGCATAGGCCGCCCACCAACATATATATACATGGATGAGTTATGCTCTTCATGAACAGATATGACAGAATTAAGCATTCACTTTGAAGAGAAAGAATAGTACCTAATTTAAACGAAATTTTATGTCAGGCTTAAGGTTAAGAGTTGAAATAAATTCTCTTCTCTTCTTCTCTTACGCCTGTTACTCCCAATGGAGTATAGGCAGCCGACCACCGTTCTCCAATCCAATCTGTCCTGGCATTTCCTTTCTAACTCTATCCAAGTTTTGTTCATTCTTCTCATGTCTGTCTCCATTTCTCGGTGTAATGTGTTCTTTGGTCTTCCTCTTCTCCTTTGGCCTTTAGGATTCCATTTGAGGGCTTGTCTTGTGACGCAGTCGGCTGTTTTCCTCAATGTGTGCCCTATCCACTTCCAGTGCTTTTTCCTGATTTCTTCGGCAGATGGAATCTGGTTTCTTCTCTCCCACAATAGGTTATTGCTGATAGTGTCTGGCCAACGGATCCGAAGTATCATGTGTAGACAACTGTTAATAAACACCTGTATTTTCTGGGTGAAATAAATTAAGTGGAGTTATTATTTTCGAATTTAAAGGTTTGTACAGATTTCTAAACTTTACAGTTTATACTATAGATTGACTTAAGTCAGATAACTAATGAAAACCAGGAAGTACCGAATATTTGTTTCGTCCTAATTTGCGACACTTCAGTGATAGTGCTTAACGAATACCCTATCAGGGTTCGAACCCATAAACTTAAAGTTTCACGATGAGAGCTTAATCTGGTTGATTTACAAAGTAAAGAAAAATGAAAAGAGAAATAATCATCTGAAGTTTTGTTAGAGGAGTCCTGAAATAATCCCTTAGAGTATTAAAAACGACATCAAGAGTCTTATCAAGTCAGCGTTGAATAGCATCTTCACAGAAACATCTAGAAAATGAAATATCACCTGTCACAGTTTTGATTGAATATTTATCTATACTGCTACTATATTTAGTATGGTACCAGAATTTTCCGTAATCCAGAAGTAGTGTGTAACTCTATAAACACCCTCATTTTTCGTATACAGAATCTAACCTTGGAATTAGGCTTCTACTTTTCATTCACGCTTTCTCTCTAATGTTCTAGTTGACATACAGAAATAGTTGAGGATATCGGGACCGGCTAGAAAGACAGTTTAAGCATGTCGGTGACAAAGTTTATTACATTTGACATATTGTTTTATAAACTATTAAAATTTCCTATTTTGTAAATCAGTAAAGCCTAAATATAAGTGTTATCAGAAGGATTTTTTGTGGAGATTTAGTATTTTCATAGTTGAAAGCGTGAGTTCGAATCTCACGAGGCGGGATTGTGGATTCGAACTTCAACTGAGGAGTCCCAAAATAAGACGAAACGGTCGTCCAGTGCTTCCAGGTTTTCTCTGGTGGTCTAGCTTTAATTGACTTATGCTTTCAACTATGAAAATACAGTATTGTTTACTTGAATCTCCTCATTGATGTTTAGGACTGTAATTATCAATCTCTTATTGGAGCATATGCATCCTGTGTGTATTACCTCGATATTACCTGAAATCACAAGCATTGTAAGCAAAGATGTATGGTGGTTAACAGTGGAATTTAGGACACACATTTCGTTCTATTTGGGAGTAGTCAGCTAGATGTATCTACATCCTAGAGTTAATGTTCACTCTGGTGTAGTTCAATCAAAAAATCTTGGATGAAAAACATAATAGAACCTAAAACTAAGGAAACTGACCAAAAATTCTAGGTAGAACACATGTAATAGATACAAAAATGTTATAGATAACGTCAACTATACTTTTTTTAAAAAGGCGACACGAATAAACTCATTTTTTTATCAACGCCAAGTATCTCAGGGTAACTGAAAAGAAGAAAAAATAATGGATTCCTGATAGCACAGTGGTCTAAAAGTTAAGCGTTCGCGCACAAGACCTAATGTCCATTACTGAGTAGATGTGTACTGCTGCGGAGTCTCACACTAGGACGAAACCGACATTCAATAATTCTAGGTTTTCAATGATGGTCAACTCATGAATTCAACTACTCAATAAAAAATTGACATTTGTACATGTTGATAATTACTTCTTTTAAAATGAACAATCACAACTTAATCGTTGAAATCATGAGTCAATTGAAGCTAGACAACTATGAAAAACCTAGAAACACTGAATGACCGTTTTGTTTTATAGTATGACTCCTTAGTAGTATACATTCACGATCCCGCCTTGCAAGATTCGAACCGAAAAATCTATCAATCTCTAACGCGAACGCGAATGAGTAACCATGGTGATCTAATTTTAATTGACTAATAATCTCAACTATTAACATTATTATAATATCTATGAATGGATAGTTTTTATATGACCAATCAAAATGTAGCACAATATTTTATATATAACTATTAATAATTGAATTCAATATGTTGTTTGTTTAAAGTCTAATTGATATAGAGGTCATCATATAAATTAGATCATTTACAATAAGTGAACATGTTGAATAAACAATACTACATGAGTATAACTGTAATGTTTATCTATATATTGATAAGTTCAATATACATAGGTAAGTGTATTTCAATGTTATTTTAATATTCTTATTGTGTATTGCTTTGTAATAATGTAAATCATCATTGAGATAGTCTGATGGTGATTCTTTTCTTAACTTACTTACTTACTTACTTACCTACTAACACCTTTTACTTCTCGTGGAGGAGTATAGATCAACCACTAGCACTCTTCATCTAACTCTATCTTGATCAAACTTTTCCAGTTGTTAATCATATTTTTGATATCTTCTTCCAATCCCCAACGCAACGTGCTCCTTAGTCTTTCTCTTTTCCTATTTCCTTTAAAATTCCAAGTTAGGGCTTAACTCATGATGCAGTTTGTTGATCACTTCAATGTATATCCTATTCACTTTCATCGTCCTTCCTTAAGTTGCTCTTCAACTGGAAGCTGATTTGTTCTCTCCCATAAAAAGCTGTGGTTGATGGTATCGGGCCAATAGATGTTGAATATATTGCGTAGACAACTACTTACAAATACTTGTACCTTATTGATGATGGTTGTTGTAGTTCTCCAGATTCTTTTCTTCAAGTAAAATATATTCAGACTATCAAACAAATAGTCAGATTGTAAATAACTGTTTGAATATTTGGTTGTTGTTATTGCCGATAGATTGATGTCTCGAATAGTTCATTATTTAACTGTAAGTATAATTTGATGGTTAGATAACATGATGGATATGCTTAGTTAGCATAGTCCTTTTAAAATGTTAGGTAGTTTATGGTAGTTGGTAGGGAAAGCTGGACCTACATTATGTGTTATCAGGAAAGTTTATTTATAATCTTAAATGAATTGATACTATCTGTTGGAGTCGAACCCACATCATCCAGTTTCTTACTCTGTGATGTTACCTTTGACTTATCTAAGACAGTGACTGACCTCTTGTAAGACTGTGTTTTCTTTCCACCACCTTCAACCACTTTATATCTCAATATAATGCTGAAGATACCAAATCATTTAAGTTAATGGTTACATTGAACTTAAGGAATAGACAAATATGGTACTTGTTACGTCCTTGATCTGTCTACCCATTTTCGTGCAGAGAATAACTTGTCAAATATAGATTAAGACCTTGACACGATAGGCTGACTCGCTTAATCTTGAGGCTAGTATGCCTGAATTCGAAGTGGGGTAGATAGAAGAAAACTATTCTATCACCTGATTGGCTGACAGGCACTCGCGAGAGAGAAGACAAGACGACTGGAACACTACTCGCTTTATTCCAAAATGCGATCTGGAATCCGATTTCAGATTAGTGTTAGAAGATACATGAATAAATAGATGACTAACCTGATCACAACGTACAATAATTAGGAAAATATAATTATGTCCAAACTGGGGGATTAGATTAGAAAATAGGGTACAAAAGGTTACGTCTAAATTACAATAGCTTTGGAACAGAAAAAGCTATAGCAGTGAATCATACATCAAACGAAAGCTTATGATCTGTAGAATAGACTAGGGGCAAAAGTAAATGTTACTGTTTTATAAGCTTTGGATTAAATGAAATAACGTCCCCGAAAACAGCTTCCGTAGTTCGTCAGGGCTTCTTATTTCGCTGTTTACATCAGTACTAGTCCCTACTCAGCGATCAGCCATTTGCACAATTTTATAAAACTAACAGTGAAGAAGTAATCTATCTGTTGTTGTATTCAATATCTTTTGAAAGTAAGACTTTCGTTTGTAACTGAGTAGTTTTACCTTTGAATTGTAGTTAAATAAAAAAGTAAGCTTAAAAATTCTATGCAGGGATGTAAACAATCGGGAGCTGACTCAATGATTAAAAGTTTAAGCGTTTGTCACTTAGGCTGAAGATTCTGGCTTTGATCCTCTTCGTTGGGGTCATGAATGCACACTGCTAAATAATCCTATACTAAAATGAAACTGCTCTCTAGAGAGTGCTTTCTGGTTTTGAATGGATATCTAAATAAGGTCACTTTGTGATGTGAACTATGAAGGACATTTGAAATTTCTTTTTACACTATTGAATATTACTTGAATCATTTTTTCTGGTTAGCATTTTTTTTAGCGAGTTAATTTTTTCTACGGGATGGGGTCGCTAACCCCATGCCCAACCCTCCTCCTTTACCCGGGCTTGGGACCGGTAGTCAGTCTAAAAGAGCTACGGGCGGAGTTATTATTGAATATAGTACTGATAATATTGATAATGTTGAAATAACATTTTTTTCAAAATTTCAAATATAGGAAATTCGGCAGCTTTAAAATGTTATGTTTGTCAAAATTGTACAAATGTCACAGCGAAAGCCAACTTCACAATTGGCAATAACTGTAAATTCTGTCAGGTGAGGTTTAACAAAAATATTTTCCTTATAAAACTGATATTTATTTTCACAGTTGAAATCATGAATCAACCTAAGATAGACCATCATTGAAAACCTGGAAACATAGGACGAGTGTTTCGTCCTGGTTTGAGACTCATCAGGAGTGCATACACACGATACCGTATGCGGGACTCGAAACCAGGACATTCGGTTTTGCCCACTTAAGCCTAATCTATAGTCTAATGAACCGGAATCTAACGGTGTTAATGTCTAACTTTAATCGATATATGATCTTACACAACATTTCATTCATTGTCTAAGGTGGATAACTATCTCTATCCGACACGGATTGGACTCCTCTGGTAACGGCTGTGAATGTGCATTTCTAAAGAGTTCCATACTAGAACGAAACGGCCCTACAGACTTCCAGTAGTGGCCTAGCTTAGATCGACTCGTCGGTCGGGCTTTCTGCCTGTGTTATAACTAGTGGCCGAGTGGATGCCTTGCTAACGTATGACGTGATAAAATCGCCAATCAGAGAGCAGCGAATTATCGATTGGAACAGTGACACACAAAAACTGTACGAGCAGTCTAGAGTACGTATCAGTCCTGCTTTCTGTCTAGCCCAGCCAGTTAAGTCCAGAACACCAATAACCACCGCTGCAATATTAATCATTATTCTCAAACATACTGGGTTTATATACCAACCAGACAGACCACATCGTACCATGAAATAGAAAATAACATTCGTACAAGATTTGGCTAAATGTGGCTGTAAATTAGGGGGAACAGTAATTAATAGACTGAGGATAACTCAAGAACAGTAAATCGTATAGTAATAGTCTGTAGATCAAAATGAAGCTTATAATAAGAGGGACATGAATATGAATAGTTAAGTCACTTAACACTCATACAATAGGAAATATACTCATCATATTGGTTCATAAATAGTTCTCAGAAGTTACCATTCATAATTCCCTTCAGGATATAACAATAATGATCCTCAAATGGATATAAGATATAAGATAATTAGATCTGTAGAACTAAACATTACATTCAATAGACTCAGTAGATTATGATACTGGATATCATTCGATACATTCCATTCAACAAATCCTACGATGATCATGAATCAAATCATAGATAAATATAACGAAACAAAACAGTTAACAAATGGAATCAAAGTGGAATCCATCTCACATAGAAGATAGTCTTGTATAGTCAGTATACCTAGATGTGTTTGTCTGTATTCAATAACCGGTGATACATCACTTTGATAGATAAATTGTCACCTTTATCAATTACATTATTATTTCCATAGTTGAAAGCGTGAGTCAATTGAAGGTAGACTATCAAAGAAAATCTGGAAGCACTGGACGGCCATTTTGTCCTATTGTGGGACTCCTCAGCAGTGAGCATTCACGGCCTCGCCTCGTGAGATTCGAACCCAGGACCTACCAGTTTCGTGTCAGAGCACTTAACCGATAGACCACTGGTATTTGTGTCTAGCTCCAACCAATCTACAAAGTTAAGTCCCACAATAGGATGAAATGGCCGTCCAGCTCTTCCAGGTTTTTCTTGATGATCTAGCTTCAACTTGCTCACCCTTTCAACTATGAAAAGACTAAATCTCCACAAAAACCCCTTACATTACTGTTATTATTACTTCTTATGTTGTTTTCTGTAGAAAATAGTTAGACTGAAAAATGGTTTCTTAAACTCTACAACAAGGAGCTGTCTAACGGATACATGTGTTAACTCGAATAAATCAGAATCACCTTGGTTAAATATTACTACATGTTGTACAAAACCAGATCTATGCAATCAATCAGTCAGAACAACATCTAAAATGAATATTCAATTCATTTGGATACTTTTTAGTATATGGATATGGTATAACTGCTGATTGGAAACAGAAAACTTTTTAAAAGATGTGATTTTTCTTTACCCCATAAATGATCTCATTGCATAATGATAATGTTAAACAGTTCGTAGTAGCTTTGCTTTATTAATCAATCACTTTGATAACCGTTATTATATATAAACCTCAACGGTGTTTGAATTCAGAAGGGCAATAAGAAGCGGTGACTATAGTTTATTAGCAGATAGCACATATAGCCAAGTTACAAGCACATCGAGAAAATTTGAAGCATGTGGGTGTGTGAGCAAACATAAAGATGCAGATGATATAGTCCTGTTTGATGAAGACGCTAACAAAATGTAGAGTCTTCTGTTAGAAATGAGTACCAATGCCAGGATGTTTGTGATTCGTATCTGCCCCCTCTAAATGCAAGTTGTTGCTTCAGGACTGGCCTGCGTCAACATCTGAACTAAGGATAGGAAGTGAAGTAGTCGAATGCGTCGACAACTCCACTTATCTTGGAAGTCTGATCAGCCCTAATGGGTTGGTATCTGACGAAATCTCAGCACAGATTCAAAAAGCTCGTTTGGCTTTTGTCAACTTACGTCACCTATGGAGAAGGCGAGATATCAATTAAGGGACGAGTATACCGCGCAGCAGTTCACTCTGTTCTACTTTACGGCTGAGAAACGTGGCGATCAATAGTAGGAGATACTCGTAAGTTACTAGTATTTGACCACAGATACCTTAGAAATATTGCTCGTATCTACTAGGATCACCGGGTAAGTAATAGTGAGGTTAGACACAGGGTATTAGGCGATGATGATGGTAAATCAGTTGATGAGGTCACGAATCTTCATCGAGTGAGATGGTTGGCTCACGTGTTACGTATGCTTAAACCTCGACTTCCATGACGTGCAATGCTGACTAGTATTGGGAATGCTCGGAAGAGAGTTAAGGGCGGTGAAACCAAAACTTGGCATCAGTCCTTCAAGTCACTAACTTCTGGTATGAACGATGTTGGTAGATGCAGATTACTTGGTTGTAGTCCACGTGACTATCGTAACCAATGGTTGGAGACTCTGGTTGACATATCTCAGAATTGATTACAATCGCGTAGGTGTATACACTCTTTATCTTCCCTTAAACCGTGAGATTAAAATTGCTTCATATCTGTCTTCCCATACTATATCCTTATATACAATCTTTCTTTTATATATTACCACGACTAAATTAACCACTTCTACGAATCCGGTGTTCATGTTGTTGTGCTAATGAGTGAGGTATGGCAACTTGGACCGATGCATATGTGTGCCTGGTCCTACGTTATTGCTGACTGACTAACTACAAATACAAAGGTGAATTTATAGTCAAATCGAATCAAGATGCAGCTAGGCAATGACAAAGGCTAATAATAAGATTCCAGTACATACGTATATGGGAAAGAGAATGATTCGTCGAGAGATATATAAGCTGTCAACATTCTTGTTAGATTCTGTAATGTGATCAAGTGTACACGTTTATACAGACAAGATAGTGATCATGATAGTACAAAGGAATAGACGAATTGTTACTGTGCGAATAATATTGTCTGTTGAAGTTTATAAAAGGGCTTAACAAAATGTAACCATGATCAAAATTGATTGTAGGAGAATTGCTAGGACCAGATAATTCAGTGATCAATTATATTTCTCAGTCAAGTTGTAGTGAACGTGAACACAAGTGGGGACAATCGAATGTATTTGAATATAAAATTACAGAATCTCCTAGTAAAATCTGAGAACTATACAGTAAATATTTCATTTGCAAAATGCCAATCGATTGCCTTAGACTTGACTGTTCATTCGTTTTCACAGCAATCATTCTCCATCCACGTTCTCTTTCTTTCGATCTTCTTAACCTACTGCTGCTGGGTATTCCACTTTCAACTGGTGATTTATACTACTTACATCTATCGATAACAGTAGTACATACCACAAAGTCAGTTATATACATATATGTAGTAGGCGTCGAGTCGCAATTGACTATGATCACCACTACAGGAAGATTACGTGCTAGGTATTGTGTTGGGTCTCTCAGTAGGCCAAAAACCAGAAGACAGTTGTACTAGGATATATTTGTCGGCGACCTCGTGGTATCGAAAGAATACCGAGATCGTGCAAAAGTTTACAAGTGGAACTACTGAGCGCATGCGAGTTCATGCAAAGTCACATACAACGGAAGAATGTGTGTTTTTTTACAATTAAACAAACAGGTAAAGTAGAACAATCACTGGTACAATTGGTTATAACAATAATTATTTCGATTATATCAATCACGTTCTCGTCATTAAAGTAGGTCACCACATATATCAGATAACCGGTTGATTACTAGTCCAATTCATCCAAATTTGTTGATCGACCAAACATTTAAAATGATAAGTAACTTGTTATCATTATTCTCCTGAATGGTATATGAATAAATCAGTCTTCTACAGTCTTGTTTTCTCCTTTTTGAGTCGACAAACCATTTTCGTTCCGTTACAATGAGTAGCACGTAAAACTTAGATCCGTCCATAATTTCAATGAAGTTCAACAATCCCTACAACCCCTTACTGACAATTATTATGCTCTCACTAGTGACTAGCTGCGAGAAGAAGTAACCGAAATTCCTAGTGAAAAGCTGTGAATTGTATTGGGTGAGACGGTTACCCACCGAAAACAGTGGAAAATGGTTGTGTAATATAGCGGATTGCTCGGAGTTAGACATCAACACCATTAGATGCCAACTCAGTAGTTAAGGGTTGGCGCGCGAGATCAAAAGTTCCGAATTCGATTTCCGTGTGCAGGATAGTGGATTGGCACTTTTGAGGAGTGTCATACTAGGACGAAACGGCCGTCCAGTGCTTCCACGTTTTCAGTGGTGGTCTAACTTGGATCTGTTCAAGGTTTAAATAAAAAAATATCACAGTTATAGCAAACAGCTGTATCACTATCAGAGATCAACACTCAGCTAGTGCATCAGTATGAAAAATCAGTCCTATTTCAAGACATTATATTAGGTTTGGAAGCGTTTTTGGCGAAGTGAGCTCAGAGAAGCTAGAATTTGATAAATTTGACAATAGAATGTCAATGTAGGATTATCTTGACACTGATTAAGTATTACGTCTAGCAATCGAAAGATCCACTACCAAGTTCATGTCGAAACTTTGATTATTGTGAATCTACACTGCAAAACTAAAAACATGAAAACAACTTTTGGATGTTTGTCTCAATCTGATCTTGTTGAATAAAATTTAATGACTTGGTTTTTCAGTTTGAATTCATTTTATTTTTTGTAAGGTTAGTATGTTATAGAGAATTATCTGTTTGATGTCTGTCTGATGTCATTGCTTTCTTTTTGTAACTGAATGCTTTAGATGAATGATGGTTTGCTTCTCGAATTGTTTATGACTTTAATAATATTAAGTTTGCAATATTGATGTCCAATACTTCTCCATGTCAAGTGAATCAAGTTATCACTATATCTACACAGTATCATTCATTTTGATCTAATTGTCTAATGCTAAGCAACAAGGTTTTTAGTGTTTGTGACTTACTTACTTACTTACACCTGCTACCACTCGTCGAGGAGCATAAGCCGCTCACTAGCAATTTCCGTCAAACTCTGTCCTCGACAAGCCTTTCCAGTCAATATTCATTTTTTTCATGTCCGCTTACGATTCCCGACACAATGTGTTCTAAGGTCTTCCAATTTTCCGTTTTCTTTCAGGATTCAAAGTTAGCTCATGCTTCGTGACGCAGTTTGTTAATTTCCTCAATGTATGTCCTATCCACTACCATTGTTTTTCCCTAATTTGCTCGTCGACTGGAAGCTGATTTATTTCCTCACAGTGAACTATTGCTGATGGTGTCCGATCGACGGACATTGATTATCTTACGATCCTCATCTTTACGTCTGCATTAGATCCTTCTTGCTCACTGATCATAATGCTCGGACACGTGAAAGTTTCCACCTCTTTCAAAGTTTCTTCATCAAATGTGATTTGGTTAGTACTGTCTGAGTTGTGTTTGAGAATCTTAGTTTTTCCCTTGTGTATCTTGAGGCCTACTGAATCAGAGGTCACCGCTACACTAGTTTTCAACGTTAAAAGTCAGCTCACCTAATTTAGGTTCCATTCATGTCAAGACTAACTATCCAACGCATCTGGATCTATGTAGAAACGTACGATCTTTATAGATTGATGGATTACCACTGATAACTGTGTAACAGTCTACTGATCTTTAATTATTGATTCAATTACTTGTATGTATTATGAACCCAATCGATAAAGTATATTAAAGGACAAATATTGAACAATATAACATTGATTATTATCAAATGACTAATCAATATACTTGATCCAAATCCATTAAAACCACTAATAAGATTGAATAAATTAATTTTGAATATTATTATCAGAAGGGGGGGTTGTGGAGATTTAGTATTTTCATAGTTGAAAGCGTGAGTCCTTCAATTGACTCACGCTTACAATTATATTTCTGTTACTATTCAAAACTATTTTCATAGTTGAAAGGGTGAGTCAATTGAAGCTAGATCACCAGGGAAAACCTGGACGGCCGTTTCGTCCTATTGTGGGACTCCTCAGTGGCAGTGTGCATCCACGACCTCGCCCCGAGAGATTCGAACCCAGGACCTACCTGTCTCGCACTAGAGCACTTAACCGATAGACCACTGAGCCGGCATCCCTGGGTTCGAATCTCGCGAGGCGAGGTCGTGGATGCAGACTGCCACTGAGGCGTCCCACAATAGGACGAAACGGCCGTCTAATGTTTTCAGGTTTTTCATGGTGATCTAGCTTCAATTGACTCATGATTTCAACTGTAAAATAACTGAAATCTCCACAATAACCCCTTCTGATAATAATCATATGCTCACAAGTGACTGACTTTAAAAGATATTTTCTGGAGTTCTAGTGAGAAGCAGTGACCAGTGGAATTCAACCAGGTCTGTTGTGAGATATCAACTCACTGCAGACAATAGTGAACGGTTGCTCAACTTTGTGG